TCGATATTCGCGGACTGCTATGACTGTCTACACATTGCAATTGATGATGGTGAAGACTTCCGCCATTTCACAAACCGAGTGAGAGTGGCCAGACGACGATATAACTTTTGTGCTGACAGAAGAACAGTTCTTTTGTCTCGTCGTTCTCACTGGACTTAAGTTGAAAGCCCATGAGTCATTATGCGCTCGAATTCCCCAGAAGCTTAACTCGGATGGAGAAAACGTTACATTCAACAATGTGATGAACGACTGTGAAGAGTTTATAGCGATGCATTTCAAAAATAAGTTATATGAATACACAGAATGTCTGGTTAATAACGTCTGTGCCAAGACCCCGCCTAAAGAAGAAGAGACCAAGAAGGCAAATCGTCCACCAAGTACGTGCAAGTGATGTGGCGAGTGGCATTGGTACAAAGACTGTCCACACATAAGGCACAAATGCCAAAAGTGCAATCGTGTAAGACATTTATAAGAATTATGTCAACGACCACAGAAGAAAAAGCAAGTGTGCTCTGCCAGGATAGGAATTATCCAAAATTTTGTAAGCGCCTGCCGACTGCTAAAAACGAAGATTGAGGTTAATGGACACCCAGTTGACTTCTATCTTGACAGTGGATCTGAAATTAACATTATTGACGAAACGACATACAATGCCATCGGACAACCCACACTCCAGCCTTGTACAGAACAAGCCAGATTTTACGACGGAAGTACTCTCTTGCCACCATTCCTACGGAAGAGACGCACCACCACCTGTCACAATGACATTCGCAAAGAAGAACCATTCTATGTAGCCAAAAAAGGAGTGCTCAACCACCTTGGAATCAATGCTATGCACCACTTTCAATTCTTCGCTGCTAAGGTCTATGATGTTTACACCTGTCAAAAGCCAAACAATGAGCTTTGAGTCATCGAATCATTGCAGTGCAACTTTCCAGTAGTTTTCGAGGAAGGACTGGGACTCTGCAAGATAACGAAAGCTTCGTTAATGTTAAAGCCAGACGTCACACCTGTCAAACACAAGGCCAGATCAGTTCCCTATGCCTCACAACCGAAAGTGGAAGAGGAACTCAATCGCCTGCTGAACTTAGGAGTCATCAAACCCATCGACTATGTAGAATGGGCTGCTCCTAGCATAGTAATTACGAAACCTAATGGATCATCACATCTGTGTGTAGACTACTCAACGGGTCTCATCGACACTCTCCAGCTCAATCAGCACCCATTATCACTTCTGGAAGACATCTTTTCCACACAAAACAATGATCGAATATTCTCACAGGCTTTTCTAATGCCTATTTGCAAGTGGAACTCGAGGAAACTTCCAAGAAATTCTGCAATATTGCAACACACCGTGGATTCTACGAATTCCAACGTCTTCCATTCGGAGTGAAATCAGCTCCAGGCATCTTCCAATCAATCACGGACTCCATGATCTCTGGACTGTCGTTCGCCTTTGCATATCTAGATGATATAGTCATCATTAGTGGCAACATGGACGATCATCACCAATATCTCCACGAGGTGTTCCGTCGCATCCACAACTATGGGTTCCGAATCCGACTTGAGAGGTGAGCATTCTTCAAGGATTCCATCAAATACTTAGGCTACATCATCGATAAGGATGGACACCGCATGAACCCTTCTAAGGTCGATGCTATCATCAATATGCCGCCGCTTAAAGACCTATCCACACTTCGCTCATTTTTCGGTATGGTAAACTACTACCAAACCTTCATCCACAACATGTGTCAAATTCGCCAACCCACTAGACAAATTACTCCAGAAAGACCGAAAGTGGCAGTGGTTGAACAAATGTCAACGGGCCTTCCAGCGCATCAAGGACATTCTCAAGTCGGATTTACTTCTCATACACTATGATCCGACGCTTGATATTATTGTCACAGCCGACGCGTCAAGTCTAGAACTTGGTCATCAAACACCGCCTGCCTGACGGATCAATCAAGGCTATCGCTCACTCATCTCGTGCTCTCACTCCAGCCAAGAAGAACTATAGTCAAATTAAAAACGGAGGTCTTGCACTCATGTTCGTTGTTCACAAATTCCACAAGATGATTTACAGACGACCTTTCACGCTTCTCACGGATCACAAACTTCTCGCCATCTTTGGCAACAAGAAAAATATTCCAACACACACAGCCAATGCTGGGCAACAACTCTTCTTGGATACAACTTCAAGATCGAATATTGGAAAACTACCAAATTCGGACAAGCCGATGCTTTGTCACGCCTCATCTCCGCTCAACCATTACAGGATGAAGAAACAGTCAAGGCAACCATCCAAGCTGACGTGGACCTTACAGCCTTGTCGTCCCAACTACCTGTAACCTTCAACAAACTGTGCGAGCAAACAAAGAAGGATCAGCTCCTTCAAACGATCGGGCAGTATATCACTTCAAAGCGGCCAAATGTCGACAAGCTTCGAGAGTCCCCTGACTGAACTCAAATCCAACAATTCTATCGTCGACGTGACAGACTCAGCGTCAAAAAGGGATGTCTCATCTATAATGAACTCATTATCGTCCCCATACTACTCCAATGTAGGGTACTCAAACTCCTACATCGTGGACATCCCGGTATCCAGTGTATGAAATCCCTTGTCCACAACTACGTTTATTGGCCAAACATAGACCTCGACATCGAGTCAACTGTGCGATAGTACTCTCCATATATCTCAGCAGCCAAACAAACGGTAACTTCCGAACTATTCTCCTGGCCGAAACCTGCTACTCCGTGGCAGTGTATCCACATTGACTACGCAGGACCGTACCAGAGCCAAAATTTTCTCGTCGTTGTGGATGCCTATTTGAAGTATCCGGAAATTATAAGCATGGAAAAGACTACGTCCCTCGCAACGATCAGCGTGCTACAGAAACTCTTCATTTGCCACAGACTGCCAGAAGTTCTTGTCAGTGATAATGGTACGCAGTTCACCTCGTACAAATTTAAAAGATTCTGTGACCAACATGGAATTAGACACATTTTTTTGCCGCCCTATCATCCTCAATCCAATGGATAGGCAGAACAATTCGTAGACATGCTGAAGCGAGCTCTCCTTAAGTTAAAATGGGAGGGAAATATACAATGCACTTTGGACATATTTCTGGAGACTTATCAGATAACTCCAAACTCAGTTCTACCGGACAACAAATCTCCAGCTTTATTACTGCCAAAATATTCAACAGAGCGCGAAATCAAAATGAAGAGGCAATTTAATCACAAGCAGGGAGCCCAAGAGTGAAATTTCACTACTAAAGAGCTCGTCTTTGCATGACACCGACGCTCTCAAAATTGGCAGCCGGGAACAATTAAATGCAAAACCGGAAACTCTGTATACAAGGTGGAAATGGCCGCCAGATTGACTTGGCGATTTCACACCAATCAGCTATTATGGAGACAATCTTCTCGACCGCAGCCCATGAATGACCCCCTCACCGTCATCGCAGAAGCCTTCTCCATCCCTCTATGTCCAGCTCCGACTCCAGACTCAACTCATCCAGTTGAGAGACCAGCCCAGCAAAACGATGGAGTCCCCGCCGTTCGAGAGACAATGCACCGTCAAAGAAACACCGCCTGAGATATTAACACCACAGCCTATCTGTCGGTCAGCCCGTACTCGAGTCCCGACGGGACGGCTTCAAATCAACCCTTATCGAAAAAACTATTACGCGGCATAAACTGCCAATTCAGCCAGTTGTTTTCTTTCTTAAAAGGGGAAATGTTGGGTCAAGTGTTTTCCACGTGTGAAAACCTAACGACTGGGGTTCAATCTGGAACTGATCAGGTTACACCTACGTGTGGGCATGTAATTCAGGAATGTCTTTTGTTCGGGTCAGTCAGACAAGCAGAATGTGACCAGTGTCCAGTCTGACCGTTATAACCGTTTCTTTGTTATATATTAAATGGCAATCTACGATTAGAGTTCTATACACTTTATTGTATAATTAAAATTGTATAATTAAATTTTAAAAAGTAAAATAGATATTTCTGGGCTTGCTATTTAATTCTTACTTCAGGCACAATACACAAAAAATTTCACTGCTGACAGTCTCTATATACTGATAACCAAAATTTTTGTAAGTAGTTTTAAAAGTTTCCATCATAAAATTATGTTATAATGTTTTAAATCAAATAGATATGTCAGTAGAAATAACCTCTTTTTACCTATACTCTAGTAATAGTTTCAATACTCCGTTTAAACTTTTCTTCAGCCCTTTTCCCTGTTTTGGGATTGGGCATTTTTATTGCTCTTATTGATCAAATAATTAATTTGTTCAATTAAATATTATATTGTCCCACCTGCCTGCTCTTTATTCTACCATTTACACTTCTCACTACATTACTTTGATGATTATTGCTTAAACTGAATGTACTGTACTTCCTATTTAATTACTTAGGTACAGTACTATCACAAAAATCTATACCCTTAAACACCAATTAACAAATTAATGATATAATAATCTAGAATGTTAATCACTTTATTTCTCTCATTAATTTACTTTATTTACTTTTCACTTTCATTTTACTACCCCTGGGATGGCCTTGCTTTTTGGGTTGGTCCTGGGAGGATAAAAAAAAGAAGAAAAGGGAAAAAAATTACTTTAATCACTTTATTTTTTCTTTAGAATAGTTCCTTTTTAACTTATTAATTTTAAAATACTAATTTAGATTAAAAATCATTTTATCTTTCTTAGTCTCTTTTATCCTAATACCTTGTAATAACTAACACACTAACCTAAGGACCAATTTATATTTTATATTTCCTTTTATCCCGCTGAACTAAGCTAAATCTATGTACAAATAAATTATCTTAGAAAAGTAAATGCAAAAATAATAAAATATATAAACATGACATCAAAATATATTGTACAAACATCCACACAAAATGTAACCTAGTTAGTAGTGTGGAAACAACCTATACCCTTGGCCATTCTGACTCTATTAACACTTTTCTACTATATTTTCTATACTTTCACTTCTTTACTTTGCTGTCGTCACCTGCCTCTCCTTCGTGGAGAGGCTTTGTCTTCTTCTGATGTCTGGCTGTGAGCTAGTGTATCTTGTGTTTGCCGTTATCGTCTCCCGGTGCAGGATGCGGCAATCTTCTCCCTGTTCTCAGCATGCTTGGTATACCCGCAGCCACTTCGGTGGATGTTTGCTTGTCAACTACACTTGTTGCTTCACTCTAGTGCAAGTCTATTATTCCCTTACCCATTCTGGGCACCTCTTATACTTGCCTGAGCCTCAGGAGCAGTGCCACTTGGTGGATGACGGGCTCACCCTATATCTTCTCACTTATTTTCTAACTGTTAAGAACTATAGTAATGTATTGCTTCCCTATATTCATAAATAGAACTTCTTTTATCAGACTAGCTTTCCTAAATTTCCCTGTCTACAAGGTGCCTTCTTTCTGTTGCCTTCCGCCCCTTTAACTTGTGTAAGCGGATAACCAAGTATTTCTCCTCCTTTCTGGACGGGCGTTAGGTGTGGAGGTTCTTGGCTACTGTGCATGGCCTTTTTGTTCTTTGGATAGTGGCCTTAATCCCAGTATGGGTATCGCTCGGTTGATCGGCAGCGGCGGTTCTGCTCCAGGTTGGCCTTCAGCAGTCGGCAGTGGGCTTTTCCTTTCTGCCTCCTGTGGCCTTTTCCACCCGTGGGCATCTTTTTTGGTGTGGCATTAGCAGGCCGCTGTACCTATCCACTGCTGCTATAGTCTATCCTGTTGTCCTTCTTCCTCTCTGCCTAGCCCTGTAGGGTTCCTTCCTGCAGCCCTCTGCTAGGCACTGACTACAATTCCAGGTTAAGTACAACATCCACCACACAACTGTTTGGAGACTGTGTGGTGAAGTCACTTATCTTCTAGAAACTGCTCTTTCTATTATATCTACTTCTTCATCTGGTAATAATCTCCAGCAGCCCATTAATATTTGTTGCTCTGTCTCATTATTGACAACTCTGTAATCAGTTGGGTTTCTCAACTGGTATTTGGTCTATACCCTGGCTGGTCAAATAGACTTTATCCTGTTTCCTCCACCTTGTCTTCTGAATGAGGACCAGCTGCCCCTCAAGTCCTCCCGGAAGGAATACTATTTTATCCCTGCAGGGTGTTGTATTTTTCCCTTCAACATCTCTATTTAAAATATGCTGGACTTTATTATCAATTAATTGTTCACTGCTGCTTTCTTTTCATCTGTGGCTTTGAGTTACCCAAAACATTGGTCTGATTGATTAAACAATACAAACTGCAAACTTTCCTCGTTTAATAAATGACAATGGTAAGTATAAAAGCATAAACATACAAAAGTAACATGCAAAATAAAAATTAAAACATAACATATACACATAATATTACAAGCCCTCACAAGGGACAAGTCATTTCTTATGAGCCTTCATCTTGGGATCCCTTCTACTAACCAACACAGACACCCTTATTATATAACATCCTTTGGCATTTTTGTGCTCTCTGAGCAGTAAAGGGCCTAAAACCTTAAAAAAATACCGTTAACACGTAAATATACAAGATTAAAAAACTATTTTAATAATTATTGAAGCAGGTAAGTCACACCAACTAGTTAGACAGTAATGAAGTAAAAAATAAAAAATTAGAAATAATGTCATTTGAAGGATTTGAAGAAATAACACTCCTGTTAGTTCTTCAAATTCTTCAGATGAAAATTATAATAAAATTACAGAATGAAATTAACAAAGATAATTAATAAAATATATAAAGATAAAAAAATTTCAGTACAGCAAAAACAGAAAATTTTGGATTTTAACAACATAAAAGTGCCAAAACTTATCATAAGGTTAAAGACCCAGAGCGGGTAGAAAATGTCGATCTATAGCAGACTTTCGGTAATCTGTGTTATATAATCTAAAATTACTTTTTAAAAACTTTTTTACAGTATATACCACTATCGGATTACAGCATCAAAGAGAGAGACATATTGATCAACAGATTATTAAAAAAAAATACATCCATCATATCAAATAATGAGGTTGGTCATTAAATCAATGTACCCTTCCATTAAACTTAATATGATTAAACAAGCATTAAATAGGTATAGAGTTCCTGAATATATAAAAATTTTAAAAAAGTCAGCAGAGAAGATAAATGAATATGCTAATAAATTACACAAAAATATTCAATTTGAAATAGAATCTGAAAAAAATAAAGAAATTAATTATCTGGACAAAACAATTACAAGAGCAAATAAAAATATCAATTTTGTAAGTATGAAAAGTTATGTAATGTTATAAAATCTATTAATTATAAATCACACTGTTTGTTAACAATTAAAGAAAATGTCTTTAAAATGGAGATAAAGAAACTATTATGAAGAATTACACTGAAAAAAGATACAGAAAATGAAACAGAACAAACATACAATAAATATTTATTAAATGGATATTCTAAGCACCTCTTTTAAAAATGGTATAATAAGTTTGTTTCAAATAGATTTAAAGTTAAAATGAAACCACAATTCTTTCAATATTTTCAGTTTCTATATATAAAAGGTTTATTTGAAAATTATAAGAGTGAATTTAACAAATTTTCCAGTGTTGGCTCCTTCTCAAAAGAACAGAGTATCAAGATTACTGCATGAAAAAAGAAAAGTAGATATTCTCAAAACAGCTGGAGTAGTTTACAAAATATTCTGTACTTGTAAGAATGAAACTAAATATTATATAGGAGAAATAAAGAGATTATTCAGAAAACGAGTAAAAGAACATCAAGCAGCTATCTGATTAGGTATTGTGATGTCACTATGGTATTTGCATTGTTGCGAGGAAAATGATAATATTAATATGGATAATATAAAAATATTGTTTAATGAAAAGAATATTGTTAAGAGAAAAATTAAAGAACATTTTTCAATAATAAATAAGAAAAATATATATAATATTAATTTAAATTAATGCATTAATGTTGATGCATGTTGGGATAGATTTGTAAACTATAAATGCACTGCAAGTGGATTTAATTGTATCACTGAAAAGGCCAAAGCATCATCACTTTGGTGAAATGCATACAATAGATAACTTATAGTTGTATGATGAAAATGAGAATAAATAATTCCTTAGTTGTTATAGGTATTGTTTGAACGTGTTAATCATCTCTAATGTCGAAACAGATTGAGTGTTTTTTCTTCGGGCTTGTTAAAAAAATTTTTTGAATTTAAATTCTGGCCCCATTGGATATTTTAAATTTTATTAATAATTAAGATATATATTGTAATACAGGGTCTCCCAAAGAGAACGCTACCATTTTAAATTACTGTAATTATGTTAATTATTATCTGAGAAGTATTCATTGACACCAAACAATAGAGTAGCTGTCTGAGTTTCATCTACCATTTACATTCAAATGTCTTGTTTTTATTATGTATAGGATGAGCCATAAATTAAAAATGATGATTCCACAACAGAATTTTATATTCTGCAGTTCATGTAGTTGGAATCAGTCATCACTTTACAACAACTTTCAATGATTTTTTTGAGTTTCACAGACAATTTCAAACCAATCCATTATATAAAGCAAACATCCTCATCATAAAATGGTAGCATTCTTTTTGGAAGACCCTTATACAAGTTGAGATGTACAAATGTTAAAAGAAATAAAACACACCTTTACTGATTCCAAATCTATTCCACCATATGCAAATTCAAATATTATGAAAAGTTGATCTGATGGTAAGCAATCTACACAGAAAAAATATGCATTTGTCAATATAAAATTTTAAAAACATTACATTATAATCTCTGAACTCTCAAACACACCAGGTCTGTCATTTTCTGTGCCTCTATTCTCTGCATATTTGTCCCAACACTGAAGCAACTTCTCAGGATACATACCAAAAACACAGGAGATCCTAAACAAAAAGTTGTTATAAAACTAATGCTCTTCCTGAATTATTTCTTTAAATTATCTCTTTGTTTAAACACTTTATTATACTATTCACAAGTTTCTAAAAAATTAAAAAGGAAATTTACAAACAGCCAAATGTCCAAATTAGAAACAGTTTAAAGGCAAAATTGAGTTGGCTGCTCTGGAGGACTCAGTGCTTTTTGCTTCTTTCTATTAAACTAGTCAGAGAATAGCAATTGTTTGGGTCCCTTGCCTATTGCAATTAGTTATTTGCTCTCTTTCAATGATGACATCATTAATCTACTCCTGCTGCTCAGCAAAGGACACAGCTGAAATCACCATAAGAAAGAAGTATAATTATTATTATTATAGATCAGCTGTATTCATTCCTGTAACATTAATTCTTCAATATATTTCTCCCCATATTTGTGGCTTTATTGCAGAACATAATCCTCAAAAACATGGCATATACTACATCTGCATGTGAAAATATACATTTCAAACTATACATGGAAATCATGCAAATTATGTAATTCATTTAAATGAAGAAAAACTTGTTCTTATGATAAACATATTGAAAAGTAGCACTACAATCTTATTACAAAGCTTGTTTGGGTCAGAAATAAATTGGTTTATTTTGCCATATTGAGTACAGTACCCGCAAAGAAAGGTAAGATCACAACAGAGCAGTTGAGCTCAAGCAAGAAAGACATACTGCAATATCTGGCATCATTCTTCTGTTTTAATAATAATCAAATCACATATAAGTTGAAAACTGAATAAATATGTAGGAAGATACAAAAAAAAACACTGTATTTTTCAGCATTTAATCAAAAATATATGTTAAAAGTACAGAATGATGATAATGAAAATTTACATATTGTTCTCACTTATGATTACAGCAACAATTTGAAATGAATTTCATTTATCATAGAGTTCAAATTTTACATTCTTGCTTCAGTTCTTTAATATTTAATATGCATGTTAAATTGAAAAATATTGTTTTAGATCACATAGTAAGTATTTTCAGATTTTTGAAAATGTTATTATAATGCTACATTTATAATAATGAAAACCCAAAATATTTAACTTATGTGAACCTTTAACCACTGAGTAATACGAAATCTCACTAAGAAATCAAACGTTTTCCTAATCCCTTCCGGGTTCTTCCTCAGGCAAAACACAAGCTGGATCATCTCAAACAAATACGAACATAAAACTTTTGAAGCTATTCAACCAATGTAAAATTTGAATGTCCAGATTTTTTAATGTATCTGTTCATGTGGAATGTTTAAAAATGTTCTAAACTAATGGTCCACGTGGATTGTAAAACAATGTTCTAAAAATAACGATCGATTTGCAGTGTAAAAATTAACCATCCATTTGCAAAAAACAGATTTTTTTAAAAAGCAAATTCAGAGTTTGTAAATAAAATGCAGAATGTTTGAGATCATATAATTGTATAATATGTCCAATTGTTCCTGTAGCATCCGTAATTCTGTAAATTCAATTTTTAATGTGCAGTATAGACTGCCAGGCCATTGAAAGACATATTTCGTCTCTCAAATTAATGCAGATGGATGTCATGTATGCTTTAAAAATTCCCACTGCTTCCAACCATTTGAGGTGGTCAGGTTGTAGGGTGGTGACTATTAGTTTCGCTCTTGAGAAATCTTCCCCAATATCAGGATCCGTGGTGTACGTGGAAAGTGAAGTGGTATATCTGTTGTGTTGTATGATATATACGATTTATGTTCTTTTATCCTGACTTCCATTGACTGTTTGGTTGATCTTATACATACCATATCCCTATTAAATCTGCTGTCCTTGATGGGGACCCTATTTTGTTCTGGTTAGCAGTCTTTTCCGTTGTGTAATAAATCGAAAATAGTGGGGCATCTCCTATATGCGATGCTGACATTATGTTTCTTTGCAATGCCAGCATATATAGATTTCAAGAGGGGGGTTGTAAGTGATAGGTATCCTCTCTTTTTCAACCCTCTGGATAACACTTCGATTTACTGTCAAATTATTGGAGTTCTCCAAAGCTTGTTTGTGGCATTCAGAGATTCTATGTATTAGGTTGTAGTAGTCATGTGTTTTGGTGATCTCTTCTATGTGGTTTAACTCTTCCTTGAGTGCTACTTGTGTAGACGAATGCTACTTTTAACTAAGGGCTTAAAAGCAGCCATTTTGTACTAAATGGGGTCACATAAGTTAATATGTATGTAGGTGGATACCGTTGACAGTTTACAGTAAACTGATGTGATGATGTTGGACCCCTCAATCTTGATGTCTAGATCCAAGAAACGTACCCTGGATTGGCTGTGTTGTTCTATGTCCAGGCATAACCCAAATGAATTATCATTCATCGAGTTGACAAGTTGGGTTAGATTGGGTGTTGTTCTCCAAAAAATAATCCACGTATCTTTTGTATAGGATGATTTCTTGTATGAAGTTTGGAAGGATCCTGCTTTCCAGTTGTCTTATAACTAATTCACATAGATCTCCGGATACTGGACTGCCCATGGGGACTCCTCTAATTTGTGTGTAAATCACCCCATCAAATTGGAACACAGAACTGTAACATATTAGATGGGCCAACTCCAGTATTTGTTGGTGTAGTACAGTAGTGTCTACTCGTGTGAAGAGGAAGTTCCTAAGAGTGCAGAAACAGGGTGGCAGTTCAATAGAAAGGTACAATGACCTGAAATCCAAGAATGAAATGCAAGTGGGGAAGGTGATTTCTTTAATTAAGGTGTTCAATTAAGTCCTCTGGGTTGGAGATGGTAAAAAAGTACCCCTCAAGATGCGTAGTAAGGATATTATGTACAGCTCTTTCTAATTTACGTGTGGAGCTGTGGCTTTATCAACTACCGGGCGTAATTGTTGTTCTTGTTTGTGAGTTTTAGCAAAGGTGAACAATTTAGGGACATCAGGAGTATTCATTACCATGTTGCCCATATTTAATTTGCTAGCCAATTTTGTATTGGAGAGCCGTTTGACTCTTGCATGTAAATTATTTCTCCAGTTGTTTTTGACCTCCGTGCATTGAGTTGCGTTGAGGTATTCTCATAGATCTTTTATCATAGGTTTCACGTTTCATGAGAACCAATAGCTTGGCTTTGTCCGTCCTGACTAACATAATTTTGTTCTAGCGTATCCACTTAGCTGTGCATTTAATGTTTTCTCTACATTGGAGAACTTCCATTGAGTCCCTGGACATTTTTATTTTTAAAGTGACTAGCCATCTATAATATTCTCTTTGTATAGCCAAAAGACCCAGGAATTCTAACTCAGGAATTCCTGAGTTAGAATTCTAAAATTTTAAAAGTAACATGAATTCTAACTCAGGTATGTAAGACCTTAATTGGAGTAGTAGGGGCAAACGCCAGTCCAAATTGCAGAATTTCTTTGGCAAATCCAGGAACTTGTATATCGTCCCATACGATAAATGGACATTGGTGTTTGTCACAGCTTTTAGGTACTTGGTAATGGAGAATCCACTGCAGTTTTTTGCTGTAATGTTTTTTCATTTTGGATCTAAGTCTATCTTGCACGTTGATAATTTTAGCATTTTCTATCTCTAAGATCTGGGAGTTTCTTTGGAATAGAGAATTCTCTATGTTTATTAGTTTCTTCAAGATAGTATATTCTAACTTTCTGGTCTTCCTTATGGCTCTGTTCATGAATAACCACTTGACTTTATTAAGAATAGACTGGTTTCCAGGTGAAAGTCAAATGCAAAATATTGACATGGGGAACACTTGACTCTCCTTGCACGTCATTAAAAAGTTCATCCTAGCTCTAGCCCTAGTTAGGTTCATTACAATTTTGTGATACTGAATAGTTGGCATCACTGTGTAATATAATGCCAATCTACATAGCGGGATGCATAACCAAAATATTTAACTTACATGAACCTTTTTTGCCTGAGGAAGAACCCAGAAGGAGTTAGGAAAACGTTTGATTTCTTAGCAAGATTTTGTATTACACGGCAGTTAAAGGTTCACATAAGTTAAATATTTTGGTTATATACCCTGCTGTGTGGATTGGCTTTATATAATAATGAATTTGTGTAACAGAATAAATCGCAGTCAAAATAATATTTGTACAGAAAATCAGTCAGTTCTTAAATCAAGGAAAGAGTAATTTTTTAACACAAACTCTCATATAATAAGTTTATTTGTATTTTTGTAATAACAATATTTAAAAATATTGTTTATTATGCTGACAGCCTTCCAGACACAAAAGTCTTTCAAAAGCATTAAAACTTGCTATCGAACTTTCATGGTGACAACACAATCCTGTCAAAACTCAAACACATATGTACAAAACAGTGAAAAATAAACAAGAAAACAGTAAATGTGATATTTCAAATATACCTAAATTATTAAACATTGACAATATCCAAAACAAGTCTATTACTAATTTAAATATTGACACAATACCTACCTGTTGACTTGAATAAAATTTGGAGATACATTACTAGAAGACTGTAATAATATACTAAGTTCTCTGCAAATAAATGAAAACATTATAAATATAAATGAAGTATAAACAGAATGACAATTTTAATAAATAATTCTGAAGTAAAAAAAAAAAGCCTCAAAGATAAATAGAACAAGATAGGCAACTAACAGCATTTGACTAAGGTAAAGTTTGATACCATTAATAAATTATAAAATAAAAAAATAACTGAAACTTGCTCTTTAGCAATTTTGTTCATCAAAGACAATGCTGCAAAGAGAAATCAAACAAAATGAACTTTGTTTTCCAAAGGATGTATTTAACCAAAAATATAAAGAATAATTAACCCTTTGGTGAACATGCCCACGGCAAATTGCCACAAAATAAAGGTAAAGTCTTTTGTTTGATGTTGTACTTAATTATTGTGGAAGTACATCATAGTATTCTCTCTTCATATTACAAGTTACAACTTGTTTGTGAAATTGGGTGTTATACTAACCGTTTAGCTGTTACTACTTTGAATCAAGTCATACCTCATTTGTGTTGTAACTGCTGCTATGCACCCTGCCATGTAAGTAAAATAGTTTACTTTTATATTTATTTTTTTAATCTTTTTAATAAATTAAGTCAAAATTTGCAATTTATTGAATAAATATATTAAATTTAACAATGCCACAAGTTTCTACAAATTTTTAAATTTATATTAGTCTATAAGTGTTCCAATCAGCTTTTGCAAACTCTGTATTTTCTTGATATTTTTAGGTCTCAAAAACCTTTGAACCAGGAAGAGTTGGAAGGAGCTTTAGAACAAGTATTGAGAGAATTAATTAATCAACAAAAGTAAAGAGCCAGAAGAAACTAACTATCACAGTGAAAGTGAGACAGAAGAGGAAATTATAGAAGAAAATTCTCATAATAGTGATTCCGAACAATAGGGTAATGAAATAGATAACATTGTAATAGAAGAAAATTGTAAACATGAGCAGACAGTAAAAGACAATTATCGATTTTATATAGGAAAAGATAAGGAAACTTTGTTGTTGAAACTAATTGCTGTGAACTCTGATCTTCTGATGGTACAGGAATGATCCTTTTACGGGGCCTCTTGTTCTTCAGTTATAAATGTTTTCAGTTTTTGCTTCGTGCACTTAGATTTGACAACTTAGAAACCAGGGATGAATGAAAAATAACTGATAAGCTTGCACCAATTTGAGACTTTCACCAAGTTTGTAACAATTGACGAGATGCTTCATCCTTTTAGAGGACGCTGCAGATTTGTACAATACATTCCTAATAAGCCTGCGAAATACGGCATAAAAATATATGCTCTATGTGATGCTAAAACCTTTTATACTCTTAATTTTGAGATTTATTGTGGAAAGTAGGTGCAAGGGCCCTATGAGAGATCAAACAAGGCCAATGATATAGTAAAGAGATTAGTCGTGCCGATAGAAAAAACAAAAAGAAATGTTACTACAGATAATTACTATGGTAGTTATCCTTTGGCCGTAGATTTATTGAATAAAGGGCTTACCTTTTTAGAAACAATGTCGAAAAACAAACAAGAAATACCTCCAGAATTTCTTCCAAACAAAACCAGACAAATAAATTCACGTTTATTTCGTTTACAGTATGATTATTGTATTGCTTCAAAAGTTCCAAAGAAAAATAAAGCTGTAATCTTTCTTTCGACAATGCATGACACTCATGAAGTTGATCAGGAAACTAACAAAGCTGTGATAAATTTGGACTACAATGCTACTAAAGCTGGTGTAGACACTGTAGATTAGATGTGTTCATCATACACTACATCCCGAATTACAAGGAGATGGCCACTACCTCTCTTTTATCATCATCTCAACATTGCTGGAATAAATTCTAATATCATATTTAAATTTAATAAAAATAACTTACTTTCAACCTCGTAACCGGAGTGTATGTATAATATTTCAGCTAACGTTTTCGACGCCCCTTCTGGGCTCTTTCTCAGGCTTTTTTGGTATATATTGAGCTGGCCGTTGAAAATCGAACACTTTCTTTTGATTCGTTTACTTTCGAATCATCACCCGTAAAAACATTTGAGTCCATTTAAAACGAAACCGATAAAGCAATAAGCGATGTTGTGCGTACAGCGCATGCACGCTGCATCACTTTCGGCGTAAACTCTTTTAAAAGATATCATCCAGCAGGAACTGCCATGCTGTTAAAAGGGCTATCTCTTCTTTAAAATTGATGCATGTCGTGTTGCGTCCCGCTCTAAATATTTCCATAGCTTCCAACCACTTAAGATGTTCGGAGTGGGTGGTAGTGAGGATAATGTGCGCCGCATTGAAGTCCGCCGTGATGTTCGTATCGGTCGCATATGTTGAGAGAGCCGTAGTTGTTCTGTTGTGTTGTACGTCAGCCTTATGTTCTTTAATTCTAATCCCCAATGACCGTCTGGTTGAGCCAATGTAAACCATTTCTCTGTCGAACCTGTGGTCTGTTAGCGGGATGGTGTAAATTCCAGGTAATTTGACCGGGTTCGGTGGGTCTTTTCCGTTACGTAGTAATTGCAAAATGGTTTGGCATCTCCTGTACGTTATATAGACCTGACGTTTCCTGGCTATCTCATTATAGATTGATTTTAACTGTGGGTTGAATGTGATGGGGATTCTTTCTATATTTTCTTCCTCAATATGTATTTGTCTATGTGTCTGGTTGTCTGCCTCATGGCTATTTCTATACCGTTTATACAATCCCCATATGATGTTGGTGTAGCCATGGGCCACTGCTATCTCCTCTATGTGCCTCATTTCTTGATTTAGTGCTTGGGGAGAGGAGGAGTGTGTAAACGCCCTCTTGACCAATGCCCTAAAGGCTGCTAGCTTGTATTGAAATGGATCACATGATTCCATTGGAATATACGTTGAGGTGCTACTGGTTTTTCTGTATACTGCCGTTTGTAAGTTCTGATCTTCAAAAGAGATGTCGATATCCAAAAAGTGGACATTTGTGTAGCTGTGCTGCTCTATTTCAATCACGAGACCATACGGATTGTTGTTCACCGTATCCACAAACTGTTTCAGATTCGGTTCTGACTTCCACAAGATGATGATGTCATCTATGTAACGTTTATAGAGTAGCATATTGGGTATGAAGCGAAAAAGAATGTTGTTTTCCAATTGTCTGACTACCATCTCGCAGAGATCCCCAGAAACTGGACTTCCCATTGGAACACCTTTACGCTGTTTGTACGCAATCCCATTGAATTGGAATACCGAGTTGTAACATATTAAGTGGGAAAGCTACAGAATTTCTCGGTGCATTGTTGTGTCATTAACTTTCGAAAAAAAAAGTCCCTGATTGCGCAGAAACACGGCGGTAGTTCGATAGAAGGATATAACGATCTGAAATCTAATACTGTAGCGCACACTGGTGAACCATTTTCCAATTACTACGTAACGGAAAAGACCCACCGAACCCGGTCAAATTACCTGGAATTTACACCATCCCGCTAACAGACCACAGGTTCGACAGAGAAATGGTTTACATTGGCTCAACCAGACGGTCATTGGGGATTAGAATTAAAGAACATAAGGCTGACGTACAACACAACAGAACAACTACGGCTCTCTCAACATATGCGACCGATACGAACATCACGGCGGACTTCAATGCGGCGCACATTATCCTCACTACCACCCACTGCGAACATCTTAAGTGGTTGGAAGCTATGGAAATATTTAGAGCGGGACGCAACACGACATGCATCAATTTTAAAGAAGAGATAGCCCTTTCAACAGCATGGCAGTTCCTGCTGGATGATATCTTTTAAAATAGTTTACGCCGAAAGTGATGCAGCGCGCATGCGCTGTACGCACAACATTGCTTATTGCTTTATCGGTTTCGTTTTAAATGGACTCGAATGTTTCCACAGGCGATGATTCGAAAGTAAACGAATCAAAAGAAAGTGTTCGATTTTCAACGGCCAGCTCAATATATACCAAAAAGCCTGAGGAAGAGCCCAGAAGGGGCGTCGAAAGCATTAGCTGAAATATTATACATACATTCCGGTTACGAGGTTGAAAGTAAGTTATTTTTAATATATTCCGGTGTGAGGAGTAGAATAAATTTAATAATCCCAATAACAAAGAGAGAAGACAACATTTTATAAAAAACTTGCCCTACGTCTAATGGAAGAACATTTGAAAAAAGATCTATGATGCTGACACTTCCTAAAGACATTCGTGCATTTTTGGAAAAATATAAGGGAAACAAAGAGCCACCCAAAGTAGTAGTAAAACCTGGAATTTGTTTTATTTGTGGCAAACACAAAAACAATAGAACAAAATTGATTTGTCAGGAATGCAGAAGAAATGTTTGCAAAAAGCATAGTAATATAGTTATTATATGTGCCATATGTGAAAGTGAACATCACATGGAAGTAGAGTGAGTTCTTTTTATTATCTAAATATTTTATAACCAATTTGTTTATTAAAATGTCGTAAAATTAGTTTTTTGGTATATCCGAATAATATTTTCAAAACAATAATTAATTATTGACTTAAATCAAGTAATATTACATATGCGGTGTAATTGCCGCAAAGTACCCTCTCGTGAGCTCCTGAAAAGCATGTTCACTGAAGAGTTAATGTATTTGCATTTCTATGATCTATATATAAATATATAACAATTATTCATAATTACTTTTAATGAAAGCCAGAAAATCTAGCCACATTATTGGGATGTAATAAGGCTAAGTTAATAATTATATACAAAGTAATTTGTCTAGAAGTAGGCTGTTAGGCTGCTTGTCATAATTTTAATAATTATAATATATTAAAATTAATTTATTATAATTCAGAAATCAATAAATCAGTACAAACTAAAGATCAATTAATTTCTTATTAAGTTTAATAAAAACAATACTTACAGAGAAATAAGCATTTCGGGCATTATTTCTTGAAATGATTTCTGGTGTTCACCATTGATTACAATGACGCCTTCTATAGGAACAATTTTATAGACGATTTTTTCTTCTGAATTACAACAGAAAACTTCCCCATACAATCCCTCTCCTATTTTCTCCACATGCTGCAATTTCCTGTAATATTGTTTTAATTGTTTTTAAATGTCTACTTTGCAGTACTAAATTTATTAAAATATTGGCAAATAATTCCTAATTATTGATATTATGATCAAAGAAAACATTGCATATGTAGGAAATAATTTCAAATTGAAACATTATCCACAAATTATTCTCAAGTAATATTACTTAAAAAGTTTATGTCTATAATATATTCAAGATCTTATATCAAAATCTAAACCTACGATATAACTGACAAGGGGACCTTACGGTCTCGGAAATTCAGTTCGGGACGAGACTTTGCAGGTTAGTAGTGTCCACCCAGAAAAATTGTAAAGCACATTAACCAGAAGATTCTGAGAAAAAGGGCTCTAAAGTTTTAAGTGCAGCTTACATAGTGGTGGATTTTACACTATGGCAGCACAGCAAAGTGGCTGGTTCTGTAGCGAACTCGCTTAGCACATGGGCGATCTAGGTTCAATCCTACCTTGGGCAAACTTTCTGTTTTTTTTAATTTATTTATAATGACTTAAAAATATTATCAATTAAATCATAAATAATTTTGTTTTATTTATGAAGTGATCGTTACAGCTAATTAAACTGTGAATTAAAGATAATATTTTATTTTTAAAAAGTTGAATAATTTCAAATGCATTTTTAATGGAGGTAAATTAAAATTTTAATTACCACTATAACAAATTTTCAGGTAGGGTTTTATTTACATAAAAATTTTTATAATATTGTCTTTATTAAATTTTTTATTTTACATACAAGCACCAGAATGATAATTATCATAAAAACATGAAAACAAAACTATTTTGACATCTTGCACAATTTATAAAGGACAATTGTTTACACGAACAACCTTTTTTTAAAAGATCTATTGGAAAACATACTTCATTTACATTCATGAAAATTTCTCTTTCATCAGAAAGCCTGGAAGCATATCAGATCATTTCATTAAAAATTGGCAATGACAGTTGATTGTATTTTTATACAGTCTTCACAGGAATTTATTTCTCTATTTTCAATGAGATAAGCACAATTTTGTATATGCTTTATTAGATTTTTTACCTGTCTATAAAAATAGACGTCACAAGGTTGAACAAAAATAAAAATAAAATAAAAATTTTTTTAAATAAAATATTATCTTTAATTCACATTTTAATTAGCTGTAACAGTCATTTCATAAATAAAATAAAATTATTTATGATTTAATTGATAATATTTTTAGGTCAATAACTGTATTTAAAAGTTGTTATAATTTTTAAAACAATTAAAAAAAAGTTAGCCAAAGGTAGGATGGAACCTAGATTGCCTGCGTGACAAGCAAGTTCACTGAAGACTCAGCCATTTTGCTGTGCTGCCATAGTGTAAAATCAACCAGTATATGAGCTGTACTTAAAATTTTAGAGCCCTTTTTCTCGGAATCTTCTGGCTTGTGCACTTTACAATTCTTCTGGGTGGACGCCCTTGAGGTATACTACTAACCTGCAAAGTCTCATCCCGAACTGAATTTCCGAGATCGTAAGTTCCCCTTGTAAGTACAATACCTCATAAATATAACCAATGTTTCCAGATCCAATTTAATCGAATGTTGGCAAAATGTTCCTGGATCAGCAGTTGGTAGGGAGGTATCTGAGGGGAATGAGGTGTCATTCTGGATGATACGTCACAGTGTCACTAGTCACAATGTAAAAGACACTTCTTGGTGAATGATCGCTTCTAGGAGAGGGTCCGCACTTCATTGTAGGTCTGCCAAGAGTATGGCAAAACAAGCGACAGTCTATATCTAGCTATTTCTGGGGATGTTCACCCTGAAGATTGGGTGCGCGGCTGTTATATCCCCATCTATGTGTGGGAAATTGGTCTCATGACTCCACATTCTTCTCTTTTCGTTGTGGAATTGTTTTAACTGTCAATGTTCCCATGTGTCAACAACTAGGTAATGTTGTCCATTTTGAACGATTGTTGATGGTTTAACTTAACGTTTACACATTCTTTATTTATCGGAGCCATGAGAAGACAAAAATACCATAAATTGGGAAAAACTTTTATTCCACATTATAATTAATTAATCGTGCAATAATTTCCAGATCTCACATAGGTATATGACAGTTTTCTGGACATTGCATCAATGTAATATGTTAAACTATTGGATAAAAAGTTTCAAAGGAGAATTTTGTAAACCCCAGATTTCTTCAACAAACATCAAGAATTCCTATCTCTGCAGATATATCTACAGAATGATAGCAGTGGGCTGATGATTAGTGTTTGTAGTCTGTTCAACTACCTGATGAAACTAATGTTTTACTTAAAGTACTCACCAATAAGAAAAGTTTTAATGTCAAAGATAAGCTTTTTTTGACATTAAAATAACTAACATAAAAAAATAATGTTTACAACAGTTTTTACTAATATTATATTGTGAGAATCGGAACAGATATACAATTAAATAATAAAAATGTAGAGTTAATAAATAGAGTCTTGAAAAAAGTCCCTAATCTGGATCGTATTCCAAGGAATTTCTTTCATCTTTTGATGGAGAAAACACAGAAATGCTGTTTCCTTAAGTAATAAAATTATTCTCCCTTAAATTATTTATCGAATTAATGTGAGAAAATATATATATCTTTCACATCTTGTTCTTATCAACGAAAGACACATTTGGCACTTAGGTGCAAAAAGGGGAAATCAACTTCTTTTCACAAGTGCTTATCTCTAACTTTGACAACCATCTGTGTATCTAACCCATCCATACATCCCATCAGCAGACGTAAATCCAAAATTTCTATTGGATGAGACTTACTATAAAAAAGGCAATTTTCCCAATTTGGGGATTCTCTGAAATTTTGACTTGGGTCCAGAAGTAAGAAGTCAGCTCCTTCACTCGTCCTCTGACTCGACCCTAAGTCCACCACTAAATCAATGAAGTAGAAGACATCAATTAGGATCTACTAGCGAGGTAGTAAGTCTAAGTTGTAAAATCTCTCTCTCTCTCACACAAATAGATAGGGATTTAGACTCTCCTTGTATATCTGTAGGTTTATTTTATTTAGTCCTCATTAAATCTTGTTTTGTTTCTTTAAATGGTCTCATTATTGATCTCAACTCACAGCCAATGTCTTATCACAGATCTACGATCCCTCCTTCTTGGAAAAGTAGTTAAATTTATTCATTAGCATGCCTAACGCTCTAATTAGGCTGGTGTCAAGAAAAACTGACAGGAAGATCATACGAACTTCCTGTTCCCCAATTTATACATTACTAAAAACCCATCCAAGTGATCCTGCGAGCGAATCTTTCCGATCTAAGGCCGAGCAAGAGTGAGAAACAAGCTGTCTTCTACTTCGAATTCCCACAATATTAAGTGTTTCTTTAATTTGCTAAATAATCCTAAGATTTGAACATTTCACACTTTTAAACATTAAAATTAGTTTTATTTTAAGACTAACAGCACAAAACCTTTCTCACTAATTTCTAGCCTTATTAACTGGAGTACAAACGTTTTCGGCCTTCTTAATAGGCCTTCCTCGGGTACACTGTGGAGCGTCGGTTAGAAGAAGTTTAAATGCTGCCAATGTTTACCCAGGTGTCGTCTTACCCGTGACGTCTTCGTCGATGATAGGTATACGATACCGAGGGAGAAAAACTACATACTTTTGGTAAAGAAGGGAGGTGTGCAGATAGGATACTTGCTAAAGTTGGGGAAAAA